TGAAATCAGATCTGAAAGACTCTTATTGTGCTGCTACAATGGTACAGTGATGTAGTATCAGATGCTAATACTATAGTACTTTGATAGCCCATGTGAAAAGAAGTAGGCTTAATTGTATTGAATGTGCATATCAAATCTTAAAAGTATTATGTTTATTTTAAAGAAATAAGTAGTGTAAAAGTATATATTTTTATGCTTTAATACTCTTTTATCATGCTTTGACTAACATACTAAAGCACAAGTACTTGACTATAATTGCAGCTGTTGTCTTATTCAATTATATTTAGATTAAATACTGAATATTTATAAAATATAAATGCACTACACTGTAACTGTAGCATTTTTACAGTCTTTTACCGTTAAATTCACGGTCATTTTTTACAGTGTAGACTGCAAATTCATCATTTCTAATGCCTAAATAGTATACTACTATATAATAGTATAATACTATATTTTAGTTTACCATAAATAGTTAGTACATATTTTCTTAAAAGTGTGATAAAATCTACTCCTCTTAAAAGTATACTACGGACATGCTATGGTACTGAATGATTACCATATTATGCCTCATTGCTTGTCCATAAAAACATGCTAATGTTACTACAGTTTTTTCTTTCTTTTTTAAAGACAGTAACGGGGCGCTCAGCATTTGAAAACACACACATAAATACTCGTCTGCCTGTGTGACTGGAACCAGACTTCTCTCCTCACTCTGAGATCATGTGTTTACCCATTGTGGTAACCCACCCATATAACTTTCTGCAGCAAACCGGCTTGGAAACACACAACACAAAACCTCCGTTCTTGTGCCTAGCACATGCATACACAAGCACACTGCTCCACCTTCTCCAAATTTGCATGCACACTCCACCCACGCCTAACGTTCACACCGTCCTACATTACAGTCGATCCAAGCACATGCGAGTCTGACACCTCGTTCCACTCGTTTATGCTCTTTTCATGTTGGAGTTAAGCTGCTTTGATTTGCATTACCATACAAAATCTCCATTCTTCCAAAGAAACCAATTACAAACCATGGTTGATCTGAAAAGAATATAATCCTAATGGGATTAATTACATACCGATTTACTCACAGCACGGCATTAAACAACCCGTTTCAAAACCAAAAGGTGTGCCAGCGGTGTAATTAATGCCTTACAAACAGTGTCTGTGTGTCTATGTGCTAAACTGGGTGAACATCCCGCTAGCTAAATGTAGTTATTTAGGATTAATGGATATGTTAAATCAAAAACAGAGTCTAAATATGTTGTTACACGGTGTGAAAGTTTACAACAATTCAGTTTTCAAGAATATCTATCATTGCACCCAGTACACCCTAATATGGCTATTTTTGCACAGGCAAGCATCATTCTAATAAAATTCTAGTTGTTACTACTTCATAATAAATTAATGTTAGCACAGTTTTATTGCAGTAACAATCAATGTTAACTATGGTATTTTGGTGGAAACTGTGGTGCAGTGGGTAAGCCAAACTGCCCCGGATAACAGAAACCATCTGTGACCTCATAATTGGGTGCCAAACATGCTGAAAGAGTAATCTGAGCACACCCCCGACATAAAACAAAAGTTTGCTTTTGTTCCTATCTTGTTTGTTTTCTCTTTTTGAACTGACCAAAGAAAGCTAATATGTCACACAGTCCAGCATTATGACATTATTGCCATGTGATACAAAAAATCACTGTGGCTGTGCGATGGTACAATACGCTAATATCATGGTACTTTGACATTAACCAATTGTACTGAATGACTGCCATATTCAGTATACACATTATACACAAAATGATATACACAATGGTACATAGTATCAAAATTTGAAAGTACCTTTTGTGTGTGTGTGTGTGTGTGGCTTAAAAGAATAGATTGTTTTGTCAAAGTCTGCATTATACACCATAGGGATATTCCATAGCCATAAATCATAACACAATAAGGGACAAGGATATTGGATTTCATAATAGCCTATATGATGGAGAAAACTCCAAAAGAAGTGTGAATGTGTATGCCAGAAGATCCTGTCTGAGTAAGGCGATCTGCCACTGGCGCTGTACTGTACCACTGAGTTACCCATTATATTTGACACCTGGAAATGTGTTTTTGTTAGGTGCTGAATTGAAGTGTCACAGGCAAGAAAAATCTATTTCACATCAAATAATCTGGTAATTGGGGGCCATTTAATGGCCATTACATTTGCCACATCATACTTATTTTATTTTGTTTTTAATTAGGGTAATTAAAAATATATAATTCTCATTTGCTGCATACTATGGACTTATATATTGTTAAATTAATACATAATAACATGCAACATAATAACATAATATAATAGTATATATAAATCAGTCTATTCACAAACACAAAGTTCACTGAGCAGATTTCTTCTTATCTAAGGACTAGCAACTCTTATCTAAATCTTCAACATTAAAATTAAATGCAAAACAGCTTTAAGCTCAGCTAATAAGAAAATATCCTTAACAAAAAAAAAGTCCAAGATTGCGTCTCTTGTCTTTTTCTCTTTTGTCATTCATTTCCTGTTGATAGCCACACGAGCAAATGTGTGTTTTGAATAGTCAAATGGTGGCCAGCACAGAGCGGTAAATTCGTCAGGAAATACGGTCCTTCCATGCAAAGACTCTCCGCAGCCATGCAAATGAACCGGAGTGAGATGACTGTAGCATGTGGGAGTTGCACGGTGCAGAATTACCTGTGGCTCCCCTGATACCAGACACTGTGTGCTTTACAGTGGCCACATTTGTAAGAAAACAAACGAGTAGTGATTTTACGCTAGCTCCTGACATTTCAACGAGTGTCCTTAAAAGTCTTCTTCCCTCAGGAATGGGAAACACCCTTTGTTATCCGACCTCCTTAGCCTATAGATCTAGAATGGATCTACAGTGTGGAGGAACTGAGATGGCCTTGTTTTTATGCTGGTCACAGTCCAGTGCATGAGTATCTTGGTACACAGGTCAAAAACACATTTTTGTACTGTTTAACTATCTTCTGTTTAGTATTAACTAACTTACATGCTTGCTGCAAACTGTGATTATAATTACACATTTTATTAAAGAGGACAGGGTATTACTTGCCAATTTGTTCTTCCCCAAACCAATGAAACAAAACCACAAATCTGCCCTCTTTCTAATATTAACACCCCGGGCCTAGAATACAAGGTCAGAGGTGGGTGGACAGGAGATTGATGGAGTGCTCCGGCATTCCAAAGAACACACTCCTCCTGGGATCCAGATAAAACCACACACATTCCTCTCTAGGGGATGACATGTGACTTAACCCCCAACCATTTGTTTCATTTTAAGGCCAACCACATTGAAAGCTCCTCCTAACACCTCAATGCAGAAATCTGTCTGATTCCTCCTGAACTCCTCAAAAACAGCTATAGGAGAAGGAAAGGTGTGTTGCATGGAGATGTGCAGAGATGGAAGTAACTGCATTGTCTGTGAACCTGCAGTGAGAAAACAAATTCCAGGAGGAAGCCAAAGGGAGCGGTTCAGAGGCGGAGGACACACCATGGCCTCCTACTTTGTGAGGAAACAGGCTTCATTTCCACCTCTTTATCCCATAGACAATAGACTGCTTACGTGTTGGACCAGCAGGGAAAATAGGCTGGGCAAGGAACAAAAGGGACAGCCCAGTCAATGGAGATTGTCCTTGCCTGGTACTCTATAGATGCTTTAATTGTTGTTCTGACATCTATTGCATTTCACAGATGTCAGAAAAATGTTGTAGTTCTTTAGGGATTGAGGGAAAGGAAAACTTGTTCTAGAAGAGCCTATATTGTGTCTAGGGAGAGGATCTGAGTGATGCCGCCACATTACCTTCCAAGTGAATGGAAAAACGTGTCTATGGAACAGAGGGAGCCATTTGAATAAACAGAGAGGGAACACTGTGACTCACTCTGTCTGACGCCAAGGGGAGATGAGGAAAGGAGCCAAAATCCAAGCTCACAAATCACCCAATCCAAGGGACACAACAAAGGACTTGTTGTAATCAACTGATTTGTGAGTTAATAGGAAAAACGTAGTGATGGTCAGTGTTTGCCAAGTCCAAATTACATTATAAAAGTATAAGGGTTAAAACAGGACCAAACATGTAGATTCCCTTCTGGGGCAAATTTTACAACAAGTTCCCTTTATAGCAACAGTTCAAGACATTCACCTTCATATGCATAACATAACTCAAGCCTGAGATTCCAACTAGTGACTGCAATGTTCTATTGGACAAAACATGATTACTGGTATAGTGATACTGAACAAATGCTTCCTGGAAAAAAAAAATCTTCCCAATTAACCTTTTTAAGATGACCCTGGTCATTACCCAGAGCATGGAAATCTGATAATCGTATCATCTCACAGTCTGACTGGTAAGGGCAGTCACGAAATAGATGGCCTGTTTATTGTCCCATTACTTCAGAAATGAGTTCTGGACATTCTGTGCCAGACTAGGACATTAAGTGAATCCAATTTTTACATTAAGGGCTTAATTCAACTCAACCCAGGTAAGATGGCCGACCTGGGTTGAGTTTTGACCGTTTTGACATTTGGCAATTTCATGTATAATGCTTGGACTTACTAATGCATTTTTTTTACAACCTTCCATGAGCTTAAATATCAGTGCCTATATTGGCAACATACCCATCAGTGTTGGATTTGTATTTGAAGAACTGCTGACACTGAGATAAGAGTTGCCGTACTTTACCACAGCATGTTCTGCATGCATTGCGTATTTCTGTGGTCACTGTGCATGTGAGCTAAGAAAGAAATATTTTTGCCATGCACAGTATGACTTACGAGTGTCAAGGACTGAAAAAAAAGTGACAAAGGTGATATAAACTGCTCTAGATCCAAACATAAATTCTGCAGAACTTAATACAGAAACACTGAGGGCAAAAACATTTTAACTTTCGTTTGAGATGTGCAAATGTACTAGTGCTTACAGCATCACGGCACAACATGCTTGATGGTGCTTACCTTCTGATCCACAATTGAGCAAGAAATTTGTTTGACGTAGGCCAGGTCTGCAGTCTGGGGTAGAAGCACAGACTCTCTAGTAAGTCCAATCTGTATCATGAAGGAGACACCGGCTGGTGCCGGAGGCCCAGGCGGCATTCCAGATGCCCCGCCGGGACCTGGGGCAACTCCCATGTCCACTGTAGGGAACCCTGGAGTTTGAGATGTATGGACAGAGACCGGTGTCCCCTGCTGCATCACCACTGACCCAGGTGGAGATGGGCCACCCGGGGGGAAGAAGACCTGGGACATGGGTCCCGGAGACATGAAGGGACTGACGTTGGCCATGCTGAAGAGTCAAAGACAGGGACTGTCTAAGACTGGGTAGTGTGAGGCAGCAAACTCACCTACACACACCAGCAGTCACTCACTCATCAATAGTGGCCGTCCCTGCTGTGTGTCCCGTGTCTACTAGAGCTTAAAAACAACTGATCCCTTTCCAGGAAGTGGCTCTTCTTTCTTCTCGCCCTCCCTTTCACAGAAAGGTCCTCTATACGGCTTTCATTCCAGAGGAGCAGCAGGTGAGAAATACAGATAGAGTTTAGCTTTGAAATGAAACGTCCTCTCCTCCTCCTCCTCCTGCTTCCTGTTCCCTCACTACTCCAAAGCAGCTTTGAAGAGGAAAACTTCCAAACTTCAAGGAAACAAACTGGGGACAAAAAAAAGAAACTGTAACAAATAAGAAAAGCAAGACAAATGCCTATAGCTATAAATCCGTCAACTCAAGATGGCCTCCAAGTACAGGAAATAAGACGGAGAGAGCTCCTGGTTAGGCTTGCTTTGCGAGTCAGACTGTGTTTCAGTTTCTTGTCGTGTTGAGCCGTGTCTGCTGTGCCTCAGTGAGAAAACTACTGAGGACACTCCCTCTTCCCCCTGCCTCCACCTCCCTACTGTCTGAACCCCGCAGAGCCCTGGAGGAAGTGGTGTGACTGACAGATCTCTCGGCCAATCAGCAGGAGAGAGAGCTGTAAAAGAAAGGCTCTATGAGATCATACATATCCACTTCTGCCACCTCCCAGTCCCACATACACCTTCTTCCCTCCCTCTCAACTTTTACGTCTTTCTCTTTAACAGTTTGCCTTGTTTACTCCCCCACCCTGGAACAAATTTGTCCTCCTCTTTTTGCCTGGGACCCCACGCTAACTTGCACTCTTTTCCCAGTCACTCATTCTTAATCTTTTTTCCCCTGTCCCCTTTTCTCCATGTCCCAAATGATAGCCAAATACACGATCTGTGTGGCATAAACACACCTAAATGATCAACCCGCATGCAATCCTGCAGCCAGACTAATTTTAAATAAGATAAGGAGTTCTGCATTGTTTCCCTTTGACTAGATGAAGGGAGTGTCAGTTCACAAATAACGGACACCACTGCATTAATCAAAAAAAACTTTGAGAACTCAAAACAAATAATAAAAAAAGTGTTTGCTAGTTTAACAAAATAACCCTTTGTGAAAAATGACATCACATTTTACCTTTTTTTACAAAAAATGTTTTAAATATCATGATATTCTTAAAAAGGAAATATTCTTGTTTCACTGTTTCAGGTTTTTGAAAATAAGCAGTCAAATCTATTAATTATCTCTCTACCTGCTGTTGCCAGTTGGTGGCAGGGTTTGGGAGTATGGAATTTTCTCATTCTAAAGAGCCTTTTATTTTTTAAAACCTACTCTGAGCAAAATGAGTTCTTATCACCTCAATATTTTGGACATTTTTTTTCTGGAAAGTGTGCATTTTCTGCTAAACAATTATGTCAACTTTAGCATATAGGCGTTGTTGACATTTAAATGTGTGTGCTTTTGTGTTAAAGTATATATCAGACTTACAAAAGTTAATAAGGAGTCATTTTTTGCAGCTTAGTTTCAATAAATGGTCATTCTGAACTGCGTTCTGACTTACAATACTTACAGTATTGGCATAGACACCCAGACCCTGACTATACAGGAACATGAGGTGAGACAGGTGTTCAAGCGGGCGAATCCAAGGAAGGCTGCAGGACCTGATGGGGTGCTTGGAACGGTACCTATGAAGTTGCTGCTGTAATCACTAATATTTTGAATCTGTCCTTGTCACAAGCCATCGTTCCACCTTGCCTTAAGTCAGCCGTTATCATCCCGGTCCTGAAGAAGCCTGCTGTAGACAGTGTAAATGACTAGAGACCCATTGCCCTTACTTCTATTGTTACAAAGTGTTTAGAGAGACTAGTATTCAGGCATATTAAAGCCAGCCTCCCACCTACATTTGACCCCCATCAATTTAATTACCGGGCCAACATTTCTACAGATGATGCTATTGCTACAGCCCTCCACAAGGCTCTGGAGCACCTGGAACACAGAGGGACATATGTCTGGATGTTCATTGATTATAGTTCTGCTTTCAATACCATCATACCGGACATACTCATCAGGAAACTCATCCGCCTGGCCGCTTCCGCACAGCTCAGCTCCTGGATTAGGGACTTTCTTACTAACCGCCCTCAGTATGTCAGGCTTGGTCCCCACCTCTCCTCCACCCTCACTCTCAGGACCGGTTCCCCACAGGAATGTGTGTTCTGTCTATTACTCTACTGCCTCTATGCATATGACTGTTTCCACATACTCCTCCAACCTCATTATAAAATTTGCACATGACTGATTAGACTCATTTCTGGAGGCGATGAGTCTGCCTATCATGACTAGGTCCACAAACTGACGTTGTGGTGCTCTGAAAACAACCTGTCGTTAAACACAAAGAAAACTAAAGAACTCATCTTGGACTTTAGAAAGTGCAGAGCTGAACCCTCTCCCATCTTTATAAATGGAAATTGTTTGGAATATATATATATCTATATATATATTTATATATCTGACAGTCTCTCCTGGTCCACAAACACCACATTTGCTGTTAAAAAGGCACAGCAGCGTCTGCACTTCCTGCAGTCCTAAAGAAAAACCATCTGTGTCCAAAAGCTACTGGTGACCTTCTACCGTTCTGCCATAGAGAGTGTCTTAACATACTGCCTTACAGTGTGGTTTAGGGGCTGCTCTGTAGGTGACAAAAAAGCTCTACAGAGGGTTATAAATACAGCACAGAAGATCATCGGCTTCCCTCTCCACTTACTACAGGACATTGCAAACACCCGTTATCTAGAGCAGCGTTTCCCAACCTTTCTTTAGTCGCGGCACCCTTTGGAAATTTAACAAATTTGTGGTACCCTACAAAATTAATTTTGTCACAATATTTGAATTTCTAACTTCGATATGATACTTTGAAAAGTATAGATATGCGGTACAGCAGGATAGAACTGCAGAATATACCGTCATACAGATATTTTTAATATTATAAACAAATTTTGTCCTTCAATGGTGGCAATCAGTAGGCTAATTTCTAATGAAAAGACCAATTTATATGCCTACAAATTAAATAAATTGCTTTTTAGTTTTTCAGGTAGGTCTAACAAACAGTAGGGCTATTAAGATAGATATATATATATTTTTACCAATTATCCAAATAATGTTTAATCCTAGAAAGCTATTATTATCAGAGGACACGTGAGCATAACGGTTAGCAGATCAATGAATGAGAGGGCAGCGTAACCAGAGTTGCCCATTTACCACACCTTGTTACAGCACAGTAGGGCTATTGCAAACAGAAACAATACTGTACTACATAGATGTTTCCTGTCAGCTCGATTTTTGAGTGGACTTTGCTGTTCCGATGAACATGAATGGTATATGAGTGGAACAGTCACATGGGCCGTGAGCGACTGAGCGGAGCACACACACGCATAGAGCGGGATAATACGCAGAGCGTCACACCACGTGAAAGTGAATCCTGAGTGGTGAACTAATTTTCGGCAGCCAGAATTTCAGTGCATCTCTAATTATTGGCGACATCAGAAATGGATATTATATAATAGCTGCTTTTTTGAACATTTTAGCATTTAAAAATATTACAAAATGATTTTTTTACACGGCACCCCTGCTCTCGACAGACGGCACCCCGGTTGGGAAACACTGATCTAGAGCAAAAAAAAAAAAACTATTAAGGACCCTTCCCATCCCGGCCATCACCTGTTTGTCCTCCTGGCCTCAGGAAGGCGATACAGGGCAATCAAAACGCGCACTGCCAGATTATTAAATAGTTTCTATCCAAAAGCTATCCAGTCCCTAATCTAAGGGCTGTCCTGCACAATTTATAAATGACACTTTACTGTGGACTGTGCAATAACTGCTCAAATCCTTAACTTTCTTATTTACCTGCTGCATATCAAGTTTATAAATGGAATGTGATAGTGTTGTTTACATGTGTGTATGTACTGTAGCAGCATTAAACCATTTACTTTGTTAAAATAGCTCTTCTTGAAGGGCTATTTCGTATTGTACTTTTATTTATCATATGACACTCATTGTGGATTTTGTGTATGTTTTGAAGCACCAATAGGAGGGGCATGTGAAATTTCGTTGTATTCGATACAATGCTGATAAAAAGCCTTCAATTCAATTCAATATGTTTACATAATTTAACACTCATCTTATTTATCTGAAGAATGAATGAATGAATGAATGAATTAAATAAAAGGAATGAAATACCTGGATTCTGACTCCATCCTCCACCTAGTTAACTTATATCAGATCCCAAATATGACGCTTATCAATTCAAAGAAATGTGGTCAGTATTAGTTAATTTAAACTTTTTCACAGACAGCAGAGTGAACAGAGTTCAGACCAGACAAGAATTAAATGTCTGTACAAAATCATGTTTTTATTTAGTCGTTTTTTGGATTTTTTTTTAATGACATACAACACAAGACCTGCAGAGTAAACAAACAAACAAACAAACAAAAAAAAATCACAAGGATAAGGAAAAGATGTATTTCGATACAAGCTAGAAAGCAGTTTAAAAATATGTATAATAAAACAATATAAATAAAAGGCTGGTCTTTTTTTATCCCTTGTAGTTAGAGGATATAGTTTGAATACAGCTTAATATGATGTACAAAATATCACACAGTGATAAATTGCTTTAAAAAAAATAAAAACACTTAACAAAAAGTCCTTTTACCTTGGCTGTGGACTGAAACATTTTCTTTTTTTTCTTAAATGTCCATACAATTTTCAGTTGTTTAGGCTTTTACACAATCACAAGCAAGTATTAAGCCTAGAAAAAAGGTACTACTGTCGTCTTACACCTTATTTTACTAGTAATCATAATAATGTCTAGTAAAAAAAAAGCAAGTAAGTCTTAAAACGGGAAACTTACATTTTGCATTGGCAGCTTTTCAAACAAACATTTTCGGTTTCTTTCAATTGTTATTTTTATTTTTACACAGATCCGTCCTCTCTCGGTAAGGAATGGGTTTTGTTGTAATTTCAAGACTCTTATTGCATCGAGGGGTGCGGAAATAGAGGTGTACAAGAGACAGCAGGACTCGTCTAAACACCCATGCAATCAGCAGTCTTTGGAAGAGAACGTAACAATGCGGCGATACATGGATGAACCCAATCGATCGTGTGATCCTACACGTGTAGTGTAGCATAAAGCTAACCGTTAGTGTGCGGCGTGAAGTTACTAGGTAAAGAGGTAAGCAGCAAAGTATTATGGATTCCACTAAACGCAAGTCTGTGGTTATGTGACATTCACTGACTGGGCGAATAGCCCAAAATGAATCCGTGGTCTCGATATTGAACAAGTGACAAGACATAACCTTGTCCATTAATAAAATCACTCCAAGAGGTTTTCCTTGCCAAAAATCACACCCCCAAGTAGGAAACCTTGTTTTCCGAGTTGGTTGGATGGCGTGATTCTGGATAGAGGAAGTCTGGTTAAGAACTGACATGGCTCCA